ACCCTCAGTCTCACACAACCTTTAATCTATTGCTGTGTCTATATTGGACTTGCCTTTTCTGAACATTTCATATAAATGGAATCAGAAAATATGTCATCTTTTGTGTCTGGCTCTTTCACTTAGCGTAATGTCAGAATAAAGTTTGAGGTTCATCCATTTTGTAGCAGATTGTAATTGTTTCAGTAAATTGTTTCCATATATTGTATTATTTGGTTCATTTATAGTATTCTGTTATTTGTGTAGACCATATTTTGTTTACCCATATATCAGATGTTGGACATTGGATTGTTTCCAGTATTTGACTATTGTGAATAATGAACATTGGGTACAGATCTTTGTGTATGTATGTTTTCATTCCTATTGAATAAATACCAAACAGAAGAGACCCAAAGAAGAGTCAAATCTGCCAGAACTTCAAACAGCAGCTGTAAGCAAAAAGAACATGATTTTGATAGTAACTAGCGCTGACACATTTAGTTATGGCACTAATGGAGCTTAGTAAAGAGCTATGAGCTTTGGAAATAGGTCTAAGTTTCAGTTTCTTGATAGAGCTACACATGCAGAATATTACACATGGCACAAAGTATATGCTTAGAAATTGGAAGCTATTCTTACTGTTAACATTTGCCAGATTTAGGGCACAGAGGGACCAGGGTAATCAGTGATGACAGTGGCTAACACTGCTGCAAAGAGAATCTGTGATTCCTTATCAGGGAAGAGAAATGGACATTGGTTCATGAAGGCATCTGTAAGAGAAGCCATAGCCATTGTTTTTGTTACCATTCTCATACTACCCACATTTCTTTCCAGAATATTATATGTACTTTTCTCATGGTGTTTTAAAAGGTACAAATAACATGTAAAATCTGAAGAGAAATACTTAAAAGAAAATCATGTATGGTCACCCATTCTGTCTTAGATGTACTCAAGTTCCTTATCCTTTAGTGTTTCTAATGTAAAAGGCAACATGAAAATAAAATCAGCCCAACAAAAAGGGAACTTTTCTCTTGATTTTTTAAAGCTGTATTAAGATTAACTTAATGATTTTAGGAATGTGTACTTTAATTTTTGTTTTACGTTAATTGTCATTCTAGAGAAAACACTAGATTGTAGATGGTAAAATCTTGCCTATACTGAATCATTATCTAGTTATATAATTTTCATGTATTATTCTCAAGTTATGCTTGTCTTTTTAAAGAGCCTAATGCAATAGAGTTGTTTAATCAATAGAACAAGAGTGCCTGAGTGACTTATTTAACCTTTAGTTACACAATCTCTGTGTTCATAAAGTTAAATCAATTGAATTCTAATCTATTAGCAAAGCAAGTTAAATACCATTTATCATTGGAACTTCAAGATGTTACATGAGATGAAAAAAATATGTATTATAATGGTGTCAGGGCTTTATTAGTGTTGCCTAATGCCAACCCAGTCTAAATCTCAAGAATTTTCCTATCCTCTTGATTTTATAATCCTGAGGAATAATTAGGAAAACCTGAATCTACTAGGTATCAAAATAGAATTATCCACACATGGCATTGGTACAATTATAGATCCACATACAAAAGATATGAATTTTGACCTTTTCTGTTATGTCAGACACTAAAATTAAGAAAATACATCGTAGACCTAAATGTAAGCACTTAAACTGTACAACTTATAAGGAAACGAAGGAAAAATTATCATTGTCCTTTGGTTAGGCTGGGATTTCTTAAATATGTCACCAAAGGCACGATCTACGGAAGAAATTGCTTATTTGACTTCATCAAAATTAAAGACTTTGCAGTTCATAAAACACCATTAAGAAAATGAAAAGACATGCTACTGTCTGGGAGAAAAGCTTAAAAGTAGCATGAATGATAAAAGATTTATAGAAATAAAATACTTGGAGAAAATATTTACAAGTAACATATATTATAAAAGACTTATATTCCAAATGTATAAAGACCGCTATGTTTTATACTGTGTGCTACAGTATAAAAAATATTAAGTCAGTTGCAGAAAATAAAGACACAAAAGATAAGAAAAAAAAAAACCTCTTACAACTCAACAACAGGACTGAAGTCCTACTTAAACATGGACAAAAGATCTGACTAGACAGTCCATCAGTGTGACTAAACAGAATTTTGAAAAATTCCTCAACATCATTAGTTATATGTACAAATGAAATCAGTAAGATACCTTTATATAACTACCAGAACAGCCATAATAAAAAGATGGTAACAATTATTGGCCAGGAGATGTGGAAACGAGCTCTCATTTTCCTGATAGGAATGTAAAATTGTACAGACACTTAGGAAAACAATTTGACAATTCCTTAAAAAGTTAAATACAGATTGACCATAGTACCCAGAAATTACATTCCTAAGTTTTTACCCAAGAGAAATGAAAGTATGTGTATATATGAAGACTGAGAGATGAATGTTCATAGCAGCTTCATATGTACTAGTCAAAAGTGAAAAAAATCCAGATATCCTCCAACAGAAGAAAGGATTAACTGTGATGCATTCATGGGATACTACTCACCAATGAAAAAGAATGAACTATTGATACACACAGCATGAGTAAATCTCAAAATAATTACACTGAGTGAAAGAAGCCAGGAGCCATGGTTGATTATGAATGACTCCATTTATATAGAACTCTTGAAAATACAAACTAATCCATCAAGACAGAATGATCTGTTGTAGGGGTGTAGGGATGGCATGAATTATGATTGAAATAGGGTATTTGAGATATTATTTAGGGTGTTGGAAATATACTAAAACTGGACTGAGGTGATGTTTACACGCTATAAATTTACTAAAATTAGTGAACTGTACACTGAAATGGGTGAAATTTTTAGGTGTCAGTATTTGTATAGGCAGATCCTTATCACAAACATGATTTGTCAACTATTGACTTATCTTTACATTGACAGGTGATAGAGTCTGGAATGTTTATAAAGAAAAATAAATCACCACTTTGTGAAAAATATAGCAAAAGAAATGGGTATAACTTTTTTCTATTTTTTACCATCTTAAGAATTTTTAAGTGTGCAGTTCAGTAGTGTTGAGTATATTCACATGGTGGTGAAACAGATGTCCAGAACTTTTTCATCTTGCAGTCTGAAACTCTGTACCTGTTAAACAACCCTTCCCCCAACCCCAGCCTTCACCATTTTACTTTCTCTGTGAATTTGACTAGTTTAGTATAGACAAATATATATGATATTTTGTGACTACTTCACATAAGTCACAGAAGTGGAATCATACAGTATATGTATGTGTGTGTGTGTGCGCCTGTATTATTTCCCTTAGCATAATGTCCTTGAGGCATGTGATAGGATTTCCTTACTTTTTAAAGCTAAATAGTATTCCATTGTGTGTATACACCGTATTTTTTATTTTTTATTTTAATTTTTTTCCTTACTGATTTTTTTCAGTGATATCATTGATATACACTCTTATGAAGGTTTCACAAGAAAAACAATGTGGCTACTACATTCACCCTTCTTATCGAGTCCCCCCATACCCCATTGCAGTCCATCAGTGTAGTAAGATGCCACAGAGTTCCTGCTTGTCTCTTCTGTGCTATACTGTTTTCCCCAGGACCCCACATACATGTGCACTAGTCATGATACCATACAATCCCCTTCTCCCTCCCCACTCGCCTTGCCCCACCCCTCCCCTTCAGTAACCACTAGTCCCTTCTTACAGTCTGTGAGTCTGCTCCTATTTTGTTCCTTCAGTTTTGCTTTGTTGTTATACTCCACGAATAAGGAAAATCATTTGGTATTTGTCTTTCTGTGCCTGGCTTATTTCACTGGGCATAATACCCTCTAGTTCTATCCATGTTGTTGCAAATGGTAGGATTAATTTGTTTCTCATGCCTAAGTAGTATTCCATTGTGTATATGTACCACATCTTCTTTATCCATGCATCTACTGATGGACACTTAGGTTGTTTCCATATCTTGGGTATTGTAAATAGTGCTGCAATAAACAAAAGGGTGCATATGTCTTTTTGAATCTGAGAAGTTGCTTTCTTTGGGTAAATTCCATTGTGTGTATATACCACATTTTAAAGAACCATTTATCCATTGATGGGCATTTGGGTTGCTTTGATCTCTTGGCCAAGAGCATGGGTGTAGAAATATCTATTTAAGACAAAAATGTGAATTTTAAAATACAAAGTTATACCTCAGAAAAGCTATATAAAAAAAATTCACTCTGACGCATTCTATATCAAAGGAGTTGAATAGATGGCTTCAAAATGTAATCTAAAACATGTAAGAATATTTAGGGGAGGTACCAAAACATAAAGAGGGAAAAGAAAGGGTTTTTCAGTAAGTGGTTTGGTGATAGCCAGTTAGCCATGGAGGGACAAGACTGTATTCTATTTATAATCTTGTATGATACCATAAACAAAAATTAGTTCTAGATGAAGTAAATAATTAAGGAAACCCTGAACCAAACATAATATGTATCGATCCTCCAAATAAAGAAGCACTTTCCAAACTTAAAATAATTTAGAAAAGAACCCATACCCCATATATTACAGATATCACAGCATAAAACTGTAAAGCCGATTTCTATTTCTTAAAAGAATAACATATCATTTTGTTACAAATAACTTTGGAAAACTACACAACAACTGTAATGTCTTTATTTTAGATACTAACACGTTAATATCTTAAAGAATGTGAATAGATAAGATCTTAATACCTTTAGAAATTGCAGGATTAACATTACTATATATGATCATACAAATTCTTATGGAAACTATTAAAAGTTAGCAAACAAAAATCATAAAAGAGGAAATATGTAAAGATGTACAGATTAAGAGGGTAAGTACTGCTTTCACTATGTGTGTTGAGCTCTTTTTAAAAAATTTCCTTTTTGACAGATAGGATTTTTACTTTTGTAATGAATTTCATAGTCTTGAAAGTCAGTAAAAAGTTCTGTCTATCAATTGGTTGTCAAACAGATGCCCTTTAAAAGTTGTTTCCTTTGTTTCCAGGAAGTATTGATGAAGATGTAGTGGTGATAGAAGCTTCCTCCACTCCCCAGGTCACTGCCAATGAAGAAATTAATGTTACCTCAACTGACAGTGAAGTAGAGATTGTGACAGTTGGAGAAAGCTATCGGTAAGATTGAAAGAATTTAATATTTGAAGTTTAAAATGTAAATACTTAAACATCTTTGTGCTGCAGATATTTGCATCTTTTAACTTCTTTTTTTTTTTTCTGATAACTAGTTTGAGTATGTATATACCAGATAAGTGGTTTTACTGGTTCTCAAACCAGGTTACTGTAGACTCACCTGGAAAGATCACAAAATAAAGATACATTGTTGCCTGGATTGTATCCCACACCAGTTGTGCCAGAATCTTAGGTGTCACTATTTTTAAAAATAGTGTACAGTGACAGTTAAGAGTCTTTACTCCAGATAAGTGGTAATTTTACTTAGTGTTTTACAAAATTGAGTTTGCTTTATGATTTAAGAGAATTCATGAGCTCCTTTGAAGTTTAGATGTTCATAATGCATAAATATTGGGTATGGGCTAAAATTAAAAGTGAAGAAAAATATAAAGGAGTATTGATGCTAAAGCATTACTTTTTGTTCTGATTTGCTTCATCTCAAAATCTCAGTGATACCAGTGAAGTTTGTGCTATTACATTAGAGCAGAGTAGTATAAAATGTTATTTTGCCCTTCACTCAGTAATTTCATCTAACCCTGGTGCCAAAAAACAAATGAAAACCCAGGAGGAGGAGCCAAGATGGCGGTGTGAGTAGGGCAGCAGAAATCTCCTCCCAAACCATATATATTTTTGAAAATACAACAAATACCACTATTCCTGAAAGAGAGACCAGAAGATACAGTACAACAGCCAGGCTACATCTACACCTTCAAGAATCCAGCACCTCATGAAGGGGGTAAGATACAAGCCATGGCCTGGCGGGATCCAAGCGCACCCCCCACCCCAGCTCCACAGCGGGAGGAGAGGAGTTGGAGCGGGAGGGAGCGGGAGCCAAGGACTGCTAAATACCCAGCCCTAGTCATCCCCACCAGAGCGCAGACACACAGTGCGTGGTGTGCTGGACACTAGGGATGCGAAACAGTAAAACCTGCAAGCGGGTTCCCACAACTGGCACCCCGGGACAAAAGAAAAGGAAGGGTTTTTTGAAAGTCTTAAAGGGACAGGAGCCTCACAGCTGGACGGAAGCATCCTGGCACACTCATCCCAGCAGCTAGAAATTCCGGGGAACTCCAGGTGCTCTAACACCTGGGCAGCAACACGGCTCTGCAGCCCCACATGGCGATAAACAGCCTCCCACCTGTTCTCCTCCGGCACAGCCCTGCCATAGCAGAGCAGCAACTTGAGACCGGCCAGGCTCACATCAGCCATGCAGAGCCTCCCCCGCAGCCACCTGGGCCAAATTCAGGAAGCCCATCGGTGCTCAGCTGCCCAGCACAATCCGCTAGGGGTTGCCGTTCTCACAGTAGAGAAAGGTGATGAGCAAGTGGGAAGGGACTTTGTTCTCCCAGCTAACACACGTGTCAACTGCCCACAACTACCTCTATCGCCATGAAAAGGCAGAAGAATTTGATCCAGACCAGAATCACACAGACATCCCCTGAGAGGGAACCTGGGGAGATAGATTTAACCAATCTTCCTGAAAAAGAATCCAGAATAAAGGTCATAACAATGCGGATGGAGCTGCAGACAAAAATGCAAGAGCTAACAGATAAAGTTGTAAGGGAGAATACAGAAATAAAATAATCTCTGGAAGGACGTCAGAGCAGAATGGACAAGGTGCAAGAGGCTGTTAATGGAATAGAAATGAGACAAGAGGAACACAGAGAAGGTGATGCAGGGAGAGACAAAAGGATATCCAGGAATGAAAGAATATTAAGAGAAATATGTGACTAGTCCAAACGGAACAATATCCATATTATAGGTATACCAGAAGAAGAAGAGAGAGAAAAAGGGAAAGAAAGTGTCTTTGAAGAAATAATTGCTGAAAATTTCCCCAAACTGGGGGAAGAAATAGTCGCTCAGACCATGGAAACACACAGAACTCCCAACAGAAGGGACCCAAGGGGGATAACACCAACACACATAATAACTAAAATGGCAAAGAACAAGGACAAGGACAGAGTATTAAAGGCAGCCAGAGAGAGAAAAAAAGGTCACCTACAAAGGAAAACCCATCAGGCTATCATCAGATTTCTCAACAGAAACCTTACAGGCCAGAAGAGAATGGCCTGATATATTTAATGCAATGAACCAGAAGGGCCTTGAACCAAGAATACTGTATCCAGCATGATTATCATTTAAATATGAAGGAGGGATTAAACAACTCCCAGACAAGCAAAAGTTGATGAAATTTGTCTCCCACAAACCACTTCTACAGGGTATTTTAGAGGGACTGCTCCACATGGCAGCATTCCTAAGGCTACATAGATATCACCAGAGAAAATAAAATCACAACAAAGACCAACCAAATACTAACTAAAGGCAAAAAATAAAATCAACTACCGACAAAAGCAGTCAAAGGAAACCCAAAAGAGCACAAAATAAAACACCTAACATATAAAGAATGGAAGAGGAGGAATAAGAAGAGAGAGAAATAAAGAATCATGAGACTGTGTTTATAATAGCTCAATAAGCAGGTTAAGTTAGATGGTAAGGTAGTAAAGAAGCTAACCTTGAACCTTTGGTAACGACGCCCACAATGGCAATAAGTACATATCTTTCAATAATCACCCTAAATGTAAATGAGCTGAATACACCAATCAAAAGACACAGAGTAATAGAATGGATAAAAGAGCAAGACCCATCTATATGCTGCTTACAAGAGACTCACCTCAAACCCAAAAACATGCACAGACTGAAAGTCAAGGAATGAAAAAAGATATTTCATGCAAACAACTAGGAGAAAAAAGCAGGTGTTGGCTTACTACTATCAGACAAAATAGACTTCAAAACAAAGAAAGTAACAAGAGAGAAAGAAGGACATTACATAATGATAAACAGGTCAGTCCAAATGTGCACCCAATACAGGAGCACCAACATATGTGAAACAAATACTAATAGAATTAAAGGAGGAAATAGAATACAATGCATTCATTTTAGGAGACTTCAACACACCACTAGCTCCAAAGGACAGATCCACCAGACAAAATAAGTAAGGACGCAGAGGCACTGAACAGCACACTAGAACAGATGGACAAAATAGACATCTACAGAATTCTACACCCAAAAGCAGCAGGATACACATTCTTCTCAAGTGCACATGGAACATTATCCAGAATAGACCACATACTAAGCCACAAAAAGAGCCTCAGTGAATTAAAAAAGATTGAAATTCTGCCAACTTTTCAGACCACAAAGGTATAAAACTAGAAATAAATTGTACAAAGAAAGTAAGAAGGCTCAGAAACACAGAGAGGCTTAACAACATGCTCCTAAATAATCAATGGATCAACGACCAAATTAAAATAGAGATGAAGCAATATGTGGAAACAAATGACAACAACAACACAAAGCCCCAACTTCTGTGGGACACAGTGAAAGCAGTTTTAAGAGGAAAGTATATAGCAATATACTTCTTTATATAAAGAGGGAAGAACAATCCCAAATGAATAGTATAAAGTCACAATTATCGAAATTGGAAAAGAAAGAACAAAGGAGGCCTGAAGTCAGCAGAAGAAGGGACATAATAAAGATCAAAGAAGAAATAAATAAAATTGAGAAGAATAAAGCAATAGAAAGAATCAATGCAACCAAGAGCTGGTTCTCTGAGAAAATAAACAAAATGGATAAGCCTCTAGCCAGACTTATTAAGAGAAAAAGAGAATCAACACACATCAACAGAATCAGAAACAAGAAAGGAAAAATCATGAATGACCCCACAGAAATACAAAGAACTTTTAGAGAATACTGTGAAAACCTATATGCTAACAAGCTGGAAAACCTAGAAGAAATGGACAACTTCCTAGAAAAATACAACCTTCCAAGACTGACCAAGGAAGAAACAGAAAATCTAAACAGACCAACTACCAGCAACGAAATTGAAGCGGTAATCAAAACTCTACCCAAGAGCAAAACCCCAGGCAAGATCGATTTACAGCGAAATTTTATCAGACATACAGAGAAGACACAATACCCATTCTCCTTAAAGTTTTCCAAAAAATAGAAGAGGAGGGAATGCTCCAAACTCATTCTATGAAGCCAGCATCACCCTAATAGCAAAACCAGGCAAAGACCCCACCAAAAAAGAAAATTACAGACCAATATCCCTGATGAACATAGATGCAAAAATACTCAACAAAATATTAGCAAACAGAATTCAAAAACACATCAAGAGGATCATACACTATGACCAAGTGGGATTCATCTCAGGGAAGCAAGGATGGTACAACGTTCGAAAATCCATCAACATCATCCACCACATCAACAAAAAGAAGGACAAAAATCACATGATCATTTCCATAGATGCTGAAAAAGCATTCAACAAAATTCAACATCCATTCATGATAAAAACTCTCAACAATACGGATATAGAGGGCAAGTAACTCAACATAATAAAGACCATATATGAGAAACACACAGCAAACATCATCCAGAACAGCAAGAAGCTGAAAGCTTTTCCTCTAAGATTGGGAACAAGACAGGGATGCCCAATCTCCCTGCTGTTATTCAACATAGTACTGGAGGCCCTAGCCACGGCAATTACACAAAACAAAGAAATACAAGGAATCCAGATTGGTAAAGAAGAAGTCAAACTGTCACTATTTGCAGATGACATGATATTGTACATAAAAAAACCCTAAAGACTCCACTGCAAAACTACTAGAACTAATATCGAAATTCAATACACAGAAATCTGTGGCTTTCTTATACACTAACAATGAACTAACAGAAAGAGAAATCAAGAAAAGAATTGCATTCAAAATTGCATCAAAAAGAATAAAATACCTAGGAATAAACCTAACCAAGGAAGTGAAAGACCTCTACCCTGAAAACTACAGGACACTCTTAAGAGAAATTAAAGAGGACACTAGCAAATGGAAACTCATCCCATACTCTTAGCTAGGAAGAATTAATGTCGTCAAAATGTCCATACTGCTGAAAGCAATCTACAGAGTCAATGCAATCCCTGTCAAATTACCAACAGCATTCTTCAACGAACTGGAACAAAGAGCTCAAAAATTCTTATGGAACCTGAAAAGACCCCGAATAGCCAAAGCAATCCTGAGAAGGAAGAATAAAGTTGGGGGGGGATCTTGCTCACCAACTTCATGCTCTACTACAGAGCCACAGTAATCAAGACAATTTGGTACTGGCACAAGGACAGACCCACAGACCAGTGGAACAGAATAGAAACTCTAGACATTAACCCAAACTTATACAGTCAATTAATATACAATAAAAGAGCCATGGACAAACAGTGGGGAAATGACAGCCTCTTCAACAGTTGGTGTTGGCAAAACTGGACAACAACATATAAGAATGAAACTGTATCATTAATTCAAAATGGATCAAAGACCTGAATGTAAGTCATGAAACCATAAAACTCTTAGAAAAAAACATAGGCAAAAATCTCTTGGGCATAAACATGAGCAACTTCTTCATGAACGTATCTCTCCAGCCAGGGGAAACCAATGCAAAAATGAACAAGTGGGACTATATCAAGCTGAAAAGCTTCTGTACAGCAAAGGACACCATCAATAGAACAAAAAGGCATCCTACAGTATGGGATAATATATTCATAAATGACAGATCCAATAAAGGGTTGACATCCAAAAGATATAAAGAACTCACGCACCTCAACAAACAAAAAGCAAATAATCCAATCAAAAAATGGTTAGAGGAGCTGAACAGACAGTTCTCCAAAGAAGAAATTCAGATGGCCAACCGACACATGAAAAGATGCTCCACATCACTAGTCATCAGAGAAATGCAAATTCAAACCACAGTGAGATATCACCTCACACCAGTAAGGATTGCCACCATCCAAAAGACAAACAACAACAAATGTTGGCGAGGTTGTGGAGAAAGGGGAACCCTCCTACACTGCTGTGGGAATGTAAATTAGTTCAACCATTGTGGAAAGCAATATGGAGTTTCCTCAAAAAGCTCAAAATAGAAATACCAGATGACCCAGGAATTGCACTTCTAGGAATATACCCTAAGAATACAGCAGCCCGGTTTGAAAAAGACAGATGGACCCGTATGTTTATCACAGCACTATTCACAGTAGCCAAGAAATGGAAGCAACCTAAGTGTCCATCAGTAGATGAATGGATAAAGAAGATGTGATACATATACAGAATGGAATATTATTCAGCCATAAGAAGAAAACAAATCCTACTATTTTCAACAACATGGATGGAGCTAGAGGGTATTATGCTCAGTGAAATTAGCCACCAAATGATTTCACTCATATGTGAAGTATAAGAACAAAGAAAAAACTGAAGGAAGAAAACAGCAGCAGACTTACAGAACCCAAGAATGGACTCACAGTTACCAAGGGGAAAGGGACTGGGGTGGATGGATGAGAAGGAAGGGATAAGCGGGTTGGGGGGAAAAGAAAGAGGGCATTACAAGTAGCATGTACAGTTTTGGGGAGGCATGGGAGGGCTGTACAACACAGAGAAGAGAAGTAGTGACTCTACAGCATCTTACTACGCTGATGGACAGTGTCTGTAATTGCATTTATGGGGGGGACTTGGTGAAGGGGCGAGCCTAGTAAACAATGTTCCTCGTGTAATTGTCGATTAATGATATTTCTTCATTTGTTTTGATAAATACCTGGAGATAACATTGTCCTTTTGGAATCATTTTGACACTCCCTTCAAAAACTAAACTGAACTAAACCCTAACACTGCATTTATCTTGTACTTTAGATGATTACAGATATTGGTAAGAGAAGCAGTAAAGTGTCTCTCTGTTCTATTTGATTCATCAAACTAAGCTATAGATTAGTCTTAATTTTTGTGTTGGAATGAATTTAGAAATGCATTTGGTGATGATATTTTAATTTCTATTGTTATAGATTGAAAAAGCAGACATTCTTATTTTGGAGAATGTCCAAACCCACCTAGAGTGTGTGCTTCTCCACTTGCCCGTCTCCCACTGAAGTGCTGCTTCTCATGGCCTGGAAAAGAGCACTCTAGAATATATCCCTGGTTTAAGTTTTAAAGGATTTTCGCAGAGTGAGAAAAACTGATACTGCCCCGTTTGTGCCCTATTATCCTGTGACTTTGCATAGTGCTTGGTACAACAGTGACTCTGTTTTAATGAGCTACAAGAATTGCTGAAATTAAGGGTCTGCTTTTCTTTGTGGAACTGGATATCTTTCTTGTCTTGGAACTGCTTAATATTTAAGCAGATGCATTTACCATAGTAATAAATAGTGTTCTTGACCCATATATTTCATTACTGTTACTGGGAGTATTAAATTTCTCATTGTTTAGCTGCCCCTAGAGGTACTGCATCTGTATTCAGATTCTTAGATGTCAGGACTTGACAGATGTCACTAAATTGGAGTTAGGACGTCCTATGAAGCTTTCACAAAAGTACTACAAAATGGACCTGGCACTTTTGGTAGCTATTAAAAGCTTTTCATAAATGACAGACTTCTCATCACAGACTCTTGGTTCCTCAACGATTTTACACGGTGATCTCTGTCCTCATTCACAGCCATTGTTACCCTGAGACATTTGTTTACTTTCATGGCTCAGCCTGTACTGTTCTTGCTTGGATGGGCTGTCCTTTCTTTACTGTCTCAGGAATTAATCTTTTTTACTCCTGATACTGCTGAATCTCATTTTAGAGTTTGAACTTCTTTATAAACTCTTCGGCTTTACACTTGCTGAGGCCATTTATAGCCCAGTTTGAACTTCGGAGCTCTTTCCTGAGTGGTCGAGCTTGTGCCCCTCATGACTGCGTGTGAATGGGTCTGGTTCACCCTTTCCATACATGCTGACAGTAAACTTAGTCAATTTCACATTCAGTTTGGATAAGAGAGAAAAAGAAGTTTTTATAAGCCCCACCTTTCTAAAACATTCATTTTTCTCTGGGACCTTTAGGACTGTGTATTCTACATGTTATTCCTCTGTACCCTCAGTCTAGATCATTACAGCAAATCCCTTAAAATAAAAAAAAATGAAACCTACAGTAAGTAACAATACAATAGAATGCCATACATCATAAAAAGATGATAAAAGTGTTCTGCGCAAACAAGTGTTGTTTTGTTGTGGCTCCCAAACTGGTCAACTAGCTGCCACTCTCCTCACCTCTGCTGATCCCAGGAAATTTCTCTGTGCCTTGAATCTCTTTTAGGGCAGCACCAGAAGCTTAGCTTGGTTAAGGACTCCCAAAGCTGTGTTTCACAAATCCAGGCTGGACTAAACATACAAGATCATGCGGATGTTATTAAATATTTATAGAGTCTAAGAAGGGTGTTGATAGTTTTGTTACTTTACGTGTGGTGCATAATCTCACGTACTAACATAAAATGTGAACACTTGATTGTAACCCCAGATGTATATTCAAAATAACCATTGAAAAGATAGCAGCTTTCTTGAAACAGAATCCTGTATTTTACACCAGTGATTCGTCTGGCATATCATTTCTCATATCATTAGGTCAGTTGATTGGAGAACATTTGCTGAGTATTTCATGCAGCATGTTTATTGAGTGCTGGGCATTGTGCTAGTCATAATTTTGAATTCTGTTGCCATTATTTCTATGGAGATACCTTGCATGAAGGACTTTACAGTGTATATTTTAAGAAAGGCTTATGATTTCATGGGTAACTAAAATGAAATCTTAATTTCTGTTGCTATAGATTGAAAAAACAGACATTCTTATTTTGGAATATGTCAAAACACACCTAAAGTGTGCGCTTCTCTACCTGCCAGTTTCCCATTGAAGTGCTGCTTCTAATGGCCTGGAAGAGAGCACTCTAGAATATATCCCTGGATATAGTTTGTTTTTTTATATTTACTAATTTAATATTGATGTCATTTAAGGTCTCGTTCAACCCTTGGACACTCCAGATCTCCCTGGAGCCAAGGTTCAAGCTCTCATACGAGTCGGCCACAGGAGCCAAGGAACCGCAGCAGGATTTCTACTGTTATTCAGCCTTTGAGGCAGAATGCAGCAGAAGTTGTGGACCTTACTGTTGATGAAGATGGTAAGCTGGAGTAGTAGTAGTGTACAAATCTTTGAAGAGAATTTGATAAAACAGAATATCTCAATGTTAGAAATTCCTACTCTTGCATACTGGTAGTATATTATTAGACTACAGGGAAGTTGTCACATCTCCTAATCTTACTATTTAATGTATACAATAAATTGGTATATAAACTAAGGTTTGCAAATTGTGCCTAAAATGTTTTCTGGTTATTGTTTCATTACTTGACCATTATCATCTTGGACAAAAAAATATTTTTACAACTGGTGTTTTAATTGATCCTCATTCTTACCTGTTAATTAAATTTGTAATATTATTATCATACTTTAACTTTGCTATTTAGAATTGAAATGGGACTTTTTAAGTACAGACAGCAGTATGACTGAGTTAAATGGTTAATACTGTTTATTTGAAATAACTAATTTGCTTTTGCTTTAAGGTATCATTAATATACACTCTTATGAAGCTTTCACAAGAAACACAATGTGGTTATTATGTTCACCCTTATTATTGAGTACACCCCATACCCCATTGCAGTCACCGTCCATCAGTGTAGTAAGATGCCACAGAGTCCCTATTTGTCTTCTCTGAACTACACTGTCTTCCCCCTGACCCCATACACGCCATGTGCACCAATCATGACACCCCACAATCCTCTCCCTCCCTTCCCACTCACCATCCTCCACCCCTCCCATTTGGTAATCCCTAGTCCCTTCTTGGAGTAACGAAGCAGAACGAAAGGAACAAAATAGCAGCAAACGAATTTACTTTTAAAAGTTGTTACCCTTTTAATATTGCTCTTACCTTCTGTGCTGCTCAGCTTTAGTGTTTTGTTTTGATTTAGAACTGCTCTCAAGTAACTGAGGAAACACACTAAAGTTGAAAAAAGGTTAGGGAAAGTGGTAGCATCTATGACTATATGAATACATGTGTACCTATAAATTGGGGAGAGAACCCATTAGGGGGGTAGGAAGAGTCAGAGGCTGTGTGTGCTTGGCTCCCACATGGACACTGTGCAGTCTGCATGATCATGACTCTCAGAGCACCAGGGTTCTGGGATTATGTGTATGAAAATATCATCTATTTCCACCATCTTCATTTCATTCAACAATGTCTTGCTTTTTATTCTGAAGCACCACAACTTGTCTGTAAGAGTGTGGTTAATATAATAGGTATTAATTTAAGATTGCTCAGAGTTAATTAAATATATGGTGACTGTTTTGGAACCTTGTTGTGTGTTTTCCCATGTGACACCTACCAGCCAGTAAGTACGAGAAGGTGACAGAATAGCTTTCTAACCCACTGGAATTACTTCCAGCAGAATACTTTTACTATGTTAAAAGTATTCCAGTGATGAGTGGATGCCTGGTCTCCCCACTGATTTCTCTCAGTGGAAAGCTTCTAACCTAGTAAAAATAAATGTAAGGAGGAGCCAAGATGGCGGTGTGAGTAAGGCAGCAAAAATCTCCTCCCAAAACCATATATATTTTTGGAAATAAAACAAGTACAACTATTCCTAAAAGAGAGACCAGAAGATACAGCAGAACAGCCAGGCTACATCTACACCTGTGAAAACCCAGCGCCTCATGAAGGCAGTAAGATACAATCCGCAGCCCAGAGGGATCCGAGCGCGCCCCCCACCCCAGCTCCCCGGTGGGAGGAGAGGAGTCAGAGCAGGGAGGGAGTGGGAGCCCAGGACTGCTAAATACCCACCCCTAGTCATCTGCACCAGGAGCGCAGACACACAGTGCCTGGTGTGCTGGATACTAGGGAAACTGAACAGTAAAACCTGCAAGCGGGTTTCCACAGCCAGCACCCCTAGGACAAAAGAAAAGCGGGTGCTTTTTGAAAGTCTTAAAGGGACACGAGCCTCACAGATGGATGGAAGTGTCCCGGCACACTCATCCCATCAGCTGGGAATTCCGGGGAACTCTGGGTGCCCTAATCCCCTGGGTGGCAACACAGCTCTGAGGCCCCTCATGGTGATAAACAGCCTCTGGCCCATTCCCCCTCCGACACTGCCCCGCTGTAGTGGAGCAGCACCATGAGACTGGCCACGCCCACAGCAGCCACGCAGAGCATCCTCCACAGCCATGTGGGCTAGATTCAGAGGCCCTGTAGGTGTGCGGCTGCCCAGAACAATCTGCTAGGGGTCACCATTCTCAAAGGAAGGGAAGGAGACAGGCAAGCAGGAAGGGAATTTGTTCTCCCAGCAGACACATGCGCAAACTGCCTAAGACTACCTCTATCACCATGAAAAGGCAGAAGAATTTGATACAGACAAGAATAACCCAGACATCCCCTGAGAGGGAACCTGGGGGGGGATAGATTTAACCAGTCTTCTTGCAAAAGAAATCACAATAATGGTAATAACCATGCTGAGGGAGCTGCAGAGAAAATGCAAGAGGTAACAGATAAAGTTGGGAGGGAGAATACAGAAATAAAATAATCTCTGGAAGGACTTAAAAGCAGAATGGACGAGGTACAATAGGCTGTTAATGGAATAGAAATCAGAGAACAGGAATGCAGAGAAGCTGACACAGAGAGAGATAAAAAGATCTCCAGGAATGAAAGAATATTAAGAGAACTGTGTGACTAATCCAAATGGAACAATATCCGCATTATAGGGGTACCAGAAGAAGAAGAGAGAGAAAAAGGGATAGAAAGTGTATATGAAGAAATAATTGCTGAAAACTTCCCCAAACGGGGGGAGGAAATAGTCACTCAGACCACGGAAACACACAGAACTCCCAACAGAAGGGATCCAAGGAAGACAACAGCAAGACGCATAATAATTAAAATGGCAAAGATCGACGACAAGGACACAGTATTGAAGGCATCCAGAGAGAGAAAAAAGATCACCTACAAAGGAAAACCCATCAGGCTATCAGACTTCTCAACAGAAACTTTCCAGGCCAGAAGAGAATGGCATGATATATTTAATGCAATGAAAGAGAAGGGCTTTGAACTAAGAATACTGTATCCAGGACAATTATCCTTTAAATATGAAGGGGGATTAAATAATTCTCAGATAAGCAGAAGTTGATGGAATGTGCCTCCCACAAAACACCTCTACAGGGTATTCTAGAGGGACTGCTCTAAATGGAAGCACTCCTAACACTAAATTGATGTCACCAGAGAAAATATAATCACAGCAAAGAAAGCAGACCAACAAATTATAACTAAAGGCATAAAATGAAATCAACTACCCACAAAAGCAGTCAAAGCAAACACAAAAAAGCACAAAATAAAACACCTAGCATATAAAGAATGAAGGACTGTGTTTATAATAGCTCAATAAGTGAGTTAAGTTAGATGGTAAGATAGTAAAGAAGCTAACCTTGAACCTTTGGTAATCAGGAATCTAAAGCCTGCAATGACAGTAAGTACATATCTTTCAATAATCACCCTAAATGTAAATGGACTGAATGCACCAATCAAAAGATACAGAGTAATAGAATGGATAAAAGAACAAGACCCATCTATATACTGCTTACCAAAGACTCACCTCAAACCCAAAGACATGCACACACTAAAAGTCAAGGGATGGAAAAAGATATTTCATGCAAACAACAAGGAGAAAAAAGCAGGTGTTGCTGTACTAGTATCAGACAAAATAGACTTCAAAACAAAGAAAGTAACGAGATAAAGAAGGACATTACATAATGATAAACAGGTCAGTCCAAGAAGAGGATATAACCATTATAAATATATATGCACCCAATACAGGAGCACCAACATATGTGAAACAAATACTAACAGAATTAAAGGAGGAAACAGAATGTAATGCATTCATTCTAGAAGACTTCAGCACACCACTAGCTCCAAAGGACAGATCCACCAGACAGAAAATAAGTAAGGACACAGAGGCACTGAACAACACTTTAGAACAGATGGACCTAATAGACATCTATAGAATGCTACACCCAAAGCAGCAGGATACACATTCATCTCAAGTGCACATGGAACATTCTCATAATAGACCACATACTAGACCAGAAAAAGAGCCTCAGTAAATTGAAAAAGATTGAAATTCTGTCAACCAACTTCTCAGACCACAAAGGTATAAAACTAGAAATAAATTGTACAAAGAAAGTTAAGAAGGCTCAGAAACACAGAGAGGCTTAACAACATGCTCCTAAATAATCAATGGATCAATGACCAAATTAAAATAGAGATGAAGCAATATGTGGAAACAAATGACAACAACAACACAAAGCCCCAACTTCTGTGGGACACAGTGAAAGCAGTTTTAAGAGGAAAGTATATAGCAATATACTTCTTTATATAAAAAGGGAAGAACAATCCCAAATGAATAGTATAAAGTCACAATTATCGAAATTGGAAAAGAAAGAACAAAGGAGACATAAAGTCAGCAGAAGAAGGAACATAATAAAGATCAAAGAAGAAATAAATAAAATTGAGAAGAATAAAGCAATAGAAAGAATCAATGCAACCAAGAGCTGGTTCTCTGAGAAAATAAACAAAATGGATAAGCCTCTAGCCAGACTTATTAAGAGAAAAAGAGAATCAACACACATCAACAGAATCAGAAACAAGAAAGGAAAAATCATGAATGACCCCACAGAAATACAAAGAACTTTTAGAGAATACTGTGAAAACCTATATGCTAACAAGCTGGAAAACCTAGAAGAAATGGACAACTTCCTAGAAAAATACAACCTTCCAAGACTGACCAAGGAAGAAACAGAAAATCTAAACAGACCAACTACCAGCAACGAAATTGAAGCGGTAATCAAAACTCTACCCAAGAGCAAAACCCCAGGCAAGATCGATTTACAGCGAAATTTTATCAGACATACAGAGAAGACACAATACCCATTCTCCTTAAAGTTTTCCAAAAAATAGAAGAGGAGGGAATGCTCCAAACTCATTCTATGAAGCCAGCATCACCCTAATAGCAAAACCAGGCAAAGACCCCACCAAAAAAGAAAATTACAGACCAATATCCCTGATGAACATAGACGCAAAAATACTCAACAAAATATTAGCAAACAGAATTCAAAAACACATCAAGAGGATCATACACTATGACCAAGTGGGATTCATCTCAGGGAAGCAAGGATGGTACAACGTTCAAAAATCCATCAACATCATCCACCACATCAACAAAAAGAAGGACAAAAATCACATGATCATTTCCATAGATGCTGAAAAAGCATTCAACAAAATTCAACATCCATTCATGATAAAAACTCTCAACAATACGGATATAGAGGGCAAGTAACTCAACATAATAAAGACCGTATATGAGAAACACACAGCAAACATCATCCAGAACAGCAAGAAGCTGAAAGCTTTTCCTCTAAGATTGGGAACAAGACAGGGATGCCCAATCTCCCTGCTGTTATTCAACATAGTACTGGAGGCCCTAGCCACGGCAATTACACAAAACAAAGAAATACAAGGAATCCAGATTGGTAAAGAAGAAGTCAAACTGTCACTATTTGCAGATGACATGATACTAGAACTGATATCAGAATTCTGCAAAGTTGCAGGATACAAAATCAATACACAGAAACCTGTGGCTTTCTTATACACTAACAATGAACTAACAGAAAGAGAAATCAGGAAAACAATTGCATTCAAAATTGCATCAAAAAGAATAAAATACCTAGGAATAAACCTAACCAAGAAAGTGAAAGACCTCCACCCTGAAAACCAGAAGACACTTTTAAGAGAAATTAAAGAGGACACTAACAAATGGAAACTCATCCCATGCTCTTAGCTAGGAAGAATTAATGTCGTCAAAATGTCCATACTGCCGAAAGTAATCTACAGAGTCAATGCAATTCCTATCAAATTACCAACAACATTCTTCAACAAACTGGAACAAAGAGCTAAAAAATTCTTATGGAACCTGAAAAGACCCTGAATAGCCAAAGCAATCCTGAGAAGGAAGACTAAATTGGGGGAATCTCACTCCCCAACCTCAGGCTCTACTACAAAGCCACAGTAATCAAGACAATTTGGTACTGGCACAAGAACAGACCCACAGACGAGTGGAACAGAATAGGGACTCCAGACATTAACCCAAACATATACGGTTGATTAGTATATTATAAAGGAGCCATGGACATACAATGGGGAAATGACAGCCTCTTCAACAGTTGGTGTTGGCGAAACTGGACAACTACATTTACGAATGATAGTGGAACATTGTGTAACCTCATAGACAAAAGTAAATTCGAAATGGATCAAAGACCTGAATGTAAGTCATGAAACCATAAAACTCTTAGAAAAAACATGGAAAAAAAAGTCTTGGACATAAACATGAGTGACTTCTTCATGAGCATATCTCCCTGGGCAAGGGAAACAAAAGCAAAAATCAACTTGTGGGACTATATCAAGCTGAAAAGCTTCTGTACAGCAAAGAACACTATCAATATAACAAAAAGGTATCCTATAGTATGGGAGAATATATTCATAAATGACAGATCCAATAAAGGGTTGACATCCAAAAGATATAAAGAACTCACGCACCTCAACAAACAAAAAGCAAATAATCCAATTAAAAAATGGGCAGAGGAGCTGAACAGACAGTTCTCCAAAGAAGAAATTCAGATGGCCAACAGACACAGGAAAAGATGCTCCACATGGCTTGTCATCAGAGAAATGCAAATTCAAACCACAATGAGATATCACGTCACACCAGTAAGGATCGCCACCATCCAAAACACAAACAACAACAAATGTTGGCGAGGTTGTGGAGAAAGGGGAACCCTCCTACGCTGATTATGGGAATGTAAATTAGTTCAACCATTGTGGATAGCAATATGGAGGTTCCTCAAAAAGCTCAAAATGGAAATACCATTTGACCCAGGAATTCTACTCCTAGGAATTTACCCTAAGAATTCAACAGTCCAGGTTGAAAAAGACATATGCACACCTATGTTTTTTGCAGCACTATTTACAGTAGCCAAGAAATGGAAGGAACTTAAGTGTCCATCAGTAGATGAATGGATAAAGAAGGTGTGGAATATTATTCAACCATCAGAAGAAAACAAATCCTACCATTTATATTAGCATGGATGGAGCCAGAGGGTTTTATGCTCAATGAAATTAGCCAGGCAGAGAAAGACAAGTACCAAATGATTTCACTCATATATGTGGAGTATAAGAATAAAGAATAAAATGAAGGAACAAAACAGCAGAATCACATAACCCAAGAATGGACTAACAGTTATCAAAGGGAAAGGGACTTGGGTGGATGGTTTGGAAAGGTGGTATAAGGGAGGGGGGAGGGGGGCATTATGATTAGCATGTGTAATGTTGGGGGAGGCATGTGGAGGGCTTTGCACCACAGCGAAGACAAGTAGTGGCACTACAGCATCTTACTCTGCTGATGGACAGTGACTGTAATGGGATATGTGGGGGGGGACTTGGTGAAGCGGGGAGCCTAGTAAACATAATGTTCCTCATGTAATTGTAGATTAATGATACTAAAATAAAAAATAGTAACAGTAAATGAATACATAAATAAATCTAAAGCTTAAGTGTATAGGACCATAGGTTCCTCACTGGCAGCCATTTTGCCTCTTAGGGAGTTTTGGCAAAGTCTGCAGGTATTTTTAGGTCTCTCTTTTGGGCTAGTGTACTGCCATCGTCTAATTGGTAGATGCCAGGAATGCTCTGAATCACCCCAGAATCCACAGGACAGCCCACCCTCTCTCCCCGCTTCCATCCCCAACACAGATTATACAGCCCAAATTATCAATATTGCCAAGGTTGAGAAACTGACATAAGCCATTTCCAAATAAACTGAGGTTCCTCCCTACAGTTTTTATAGTAGCAAATGTGTTTGTTTGAGCATGCAGAGCAGTTTCCTGTATAGGACAACGAGTATTGTTTGCATTTCAGAAATCAGCCTACCACTCTGCCCTGTATAAATTGATTGTCCTTTAGATCTGTAACACATTAAGATAATCCCTTCTTTTGAACCAAATCATTGTGACTGTGCTTTGGAGAGATTAAGTTCAATTACTTTCAATTTTTAAACTGCCATTTTATAATCAGAGTAGAAAATATAGCTCATTTGTAAGTTAAAGCCTGCCTGAAATTTACTTTCTACTACAGAAATTTTAACTTTCATTACATAACACTGAATGTATTAATATTTGCATTTTTTAAAAATAAAAAGGCATGTAAAAAAGTGAGAGAGTGCTTAGGTAACTTATCCATGACCATCATGTCAGTGGTGAAATTTAGAGTTGCTTTTCCAGAAGTCTGAGTCTAGAATCCATGCTGTCCGAAAGTAAGTACAGTTTCTAACCCTGTTACAGACTGTGACAATGTATATGAATATAGCGGACGTACTTTTACTTTCCTTTTTCTCTTTTCTGCTTGGTAGTACATAAAACTTCCATAGTGGTTACCGAAAGAACTACTTAATAACCTGGATTATTATAATATGCATATGTGTTGAATTTTTTAAATGCTGTAATCACATCTTAGTAACGTCATTTTAATGTTGCAGTTTAGCTTTATGAAAGCTTTTTTAAAACTATATATTGTACTTATTAGAGAGTTAATAGTTTTAGTTTGTTTTGATTAATTACCGTAAAAATGTTAGCTTTGATTAAAATATAGTCCATTACCTAATTTGTATTGAAATGCTAAATAACTATTTTACATTTTGCAGAACCTACTGTAGTACCAACCACTTCTTCAAGAATGGAATCACAGACTACAAGCACTTCCATTAACAACAATTCAAATTCATCTACCTCTGAGCAGGCCTCTGATGTTGCTTTGGCTGTCACTAGTACCCAACCCTCCACGGTGTCAGAGATGTCAGCTCCTCTTACAAGCAATAGTATGACTGGTACTTCTATAGGAGGTACGTTTAAAAAAAATGGATGGGGAGAGGGACTTTTTTCATTACTTTTGTTAGAAAAAGTATTGTTTTAAAGATTTTAGCTATGTGAACAAAAGTGTAATAGTAGAATGAACATTGAATGTGAGCAATATGGCCTTTATTAGACTATGATTTCATATTTGAGTTGCTATATGTTATCAAAGTATCATAGCATAACTGAAAGAGATTGGGGGCTGTCACCAAAAATATGAGCAACAGCAAAAGAAAACAGGTAAATTGGACTTCAGCAAAATCTAAAACTTTTGTACATCAAAGGACATTATTGAGAAAGTGAAAAAACAGCCTACAGAGTGGGAGAAAATGATGTGAAAATCATTTATTTTATAAGAGTCTAGTATCCAGATATATAACTAACTTGCACAACTCAACAGGAAGAAGAGAAACAACCCAGTTTAAAAATGGGCAAAAGATTTGCATAGATGTTTTTCCAAAGAAGATATGCAAATAACTGGGAAGAACATGAAAATATTGTCATTAATTATGAGGGAAATAGAAGTCAAAACCACTTTGCACCTATTATAATTAGAAACAAAACAAAACTAAAAAACAGGAAATAGGAAATGACCAGTGCTGACAAGAATCTGGAGAATCTGGAACCCTTATGAATATTTGGTGGGAATGTAAATTGCTGCAGCTGCTGTGGAAACCACTCTGGTGGTTCCTCAAAAAGTTAAACATGAAATTACCACATGACACACAATCCCATGCCTGGATATATATTCAGAAATAATGAAAACCGTGATGGAAGTTATAGAAGGCTTGATGATGTCCCATTTTCTTAATTTTTGTTGTTTGTTATTTTGGTGTCACATATAAGATACCATTGCCTAACCAAGGATCACAAAGATTTATTTATGTATTTTGTACAATTACTTGACCAACATTACGGTTACTAGTCTCCCCCAATTATCAAGTCTCCCCCACATACGCCATTACAGTCACTGTCCATCAGCTTAGTAACATGCTACAGAATCATTATTTGTCTTCTCTGTGTATACTGCCTTTTCCATGTCCCCCCTCCCCCCCACTACATTATGTGTGCTAAGTATAATACCCTTTTCCCCCCTTTATCCCTCCCTTCCCACCCATCCTCCCCAGTCCCTTTCCCTTTGGTAACTGTTAGTCCATTCTTGGGTTATGTGAGTCTGCTGCTGTTTTGTTCCTTTAATTTTTACTTTGTTCTTATACTCGACAGATGAGTGAAATCATTTGGTACGTGTCTCCCTCCACCTGGCTTATTTCACTGAGCATAATACGCTCTAGCTCCATCCATGTTGATGCAAATGGTAGGATTTCTTTTCTTCTTATGGCTGAAAAGTATTCTATTGTGTATATGTACCACCTCTTCTTTATCCATTCATCTTCTGATGGACACTTAGGTTCCTTCCATTTCTTGGCTATTGTAAATAGTGCTTTTTGCATATGGGGTGCATATGTCTTTTTCAAACTGGGCTGCTGCATTCTTAGGGTAAATTCCTAGGAATGGAATTCCTTGGTGAAATGGTATTTCTATTTTGAGATTTTTGAGGAACCTCCCTCCATAGTGCTTTCCACAATAGTTATACTAGGTTACATTCCCACGAGCACTGTAGAGGGTTCCCCTTTCTCCACATCCTCACTACCATTTGTTGTTTGTCTCTTGGATGCTGGCCATCCTAACTGGTGTGAGGTGATTTCTCATTGTGGTTTTAATTTGCATTTCTCTGATGATTAGCAATGTGGAGCATCTTTTCATGTGCCTGTTGGCCATCTGAATTTCTTTTTTGGAGAACTGTCTGTTCAGCTCCTCTGATCATTGTTTGATTGGATTATTTGCTGTTTGTTTGTTGAGGTGCTTGAGCTCTTTATATAATTTGGATGTCAACCCCTTATCAGATATCTCATTTATGAATATATTCTCTCATACTATAGGATGTCTTTTTGTTCTACTGATGGTGTCCTTTGCTGTACAGAAGCTTTTTAGTTTGATGTAGTCCCACTTGTTCATTTTTACTTTTGTTTCCCTTGCCTGGGGAGATATGTTCATGAAGAAGTTGCTCATGTTTATGTCCAAGAGATTTTTGCCTATAATTTATTCTAAAAGTTTTATGGTTTCATGACTTACATTCAGGTCTTTGATCCATTTTGAGTTTACTTTTGTGTATGAGGTTAGAGAAAAATTGAGTTTCATTCTCTTACATGTAGCTGTCCAGTTTTGCCAACACCAGTTGTTGAAGAGGCTGTCGTTTCCCCATTGTATATCCATGGCTCCTTTATCGTATATTAATTGACCATATATGCTTGAGTTTATATCTGGGCTCTCTATTCTGTTCCACTGGTCTATGGGTCTGTTCTTGTGCCAGTACCAAATTGTCTTGATTACTGTGGCTTTGTAGTAGAGCTTAAAAAGTGACAGTCCCCCTGCTTTATTCTTCCTTCTCAGGATTGCTTTAGGTATTCCTGGTCTTTTGTCATTCCATATGAATTTTAGAACTATATGCTCTAGTTCATAGAAGAATCCTGTAGATGTTTTGATAGGGATTGCATTGAATCTATAGATCGCTTTAGGCAGGATGGCCATTTTGACCATATTAATTCTTTCTACCCAAGAGAAGAGGATGAATTTCTATTTATTTGAGTCCTCTTTAATTTGTCTTAAGAGTGTCTTGTAGTTTTCAGGGTATAGGTGTTTTACTTCCTTGGGTAGGTTTATTCCTAGGTATTTTATTCTTTTTGATGCAATTGTGAATGGAATTATTTTCTTGATTTCTCTTTCTGTTAGTTCATCATTAGTGTATAGGAATGCAACAGATTTCTGTGTATTAATTTTGTACCCTGCAACTTTGCTGAATTCAGATATTAGATCTAGTAGTTTTGGATTGGATTCTTCAGGGTTTTTTATGTACAATATCATGTCATCTTGAAACAAGGACAGTGTAACTTCTACCTTGCCAGTCTGGATGCCTTTTATTTCTTTGTGTTGTCTGATTGCCGTGGATAGGACCTCCAGAACTATGTTGAATAAAAGTGGGGAGGGTGGGCATCCTTGTCTTGTTCCCAATCTTAAAGAAAAAGTTTTCAGCTTCTCACTGTTAAGTGTAATGTTGCCTGTGGGTTTGTGCCTTTATTATGTTGAGGTACTTGCCCTGTATACCTATTTTGTTGAGAGTTTTTATCATGAATGGATGTTGAATTTTGTCAAATGCTTTTTCAGCATCTATGGAGATTATTGTATGGTTTTGTCCTTTTTGTTGATGTAGTGGATGGTATTGGTTGATTTTCGAATGCTGTACCATCCTTGCATCCCTGGGATGAATCCCACTTGATCATGATCGATGGTCTTTTTGATGTATTTTTGAATTCAGTTTGCTAATATTTTGTTGAGGATATTTGCATCTATGTTCATCAGGGATATTGATCTTCAATTTTCTGTTTTTGTGTTGTCTTTGCCTGGTTTTCATATTAGAGTGATGTTGGCTTCATAGAATGAGTTTGGGAGTATTCCCTCCTCCTCTACTTTTTTGAAAACTTTAAGGAGGATGGATATTAGGTCTTCACTATATGTTTGATAAAATACAGCAGTGAAACCATGTGGTCGAGGAGTTTTGTTCTTAGGTAGTTTTTTGATTACCAATTCAATTTCTTTGCTGGTAATTGGTTTGTTCAGATTTTCTGTTTCTTCCTGTGTCAGCCTTGGAAGATTGTATTTTTCTAGAAAGTCCATTTCTTCTAGGTTATACAGTTTGTTTCCATATAAGTTTTCATAGTATTGTATCATAATTCTTTGTATTTCTGTGGTGTCTATAGTGATTTTTCCCTTCTCATTTCTGATTCTGTTTATGCGTGTAGACTTTTTTTCTTGATAAGTCTCACTAGGGGTTTATCTATTTTGTTTATTTTCTTGAAGAAACAGCTCCTGCTTTCATTGAACCTTCTATTGTTTTGTTCTTCTCAATTTTATTTATTTCAGCTTCAATCTTTATTATGTCCCTCCTTCTACTAACTTTGGGCCTCATTTGTTCTTTCTTTTCTAATTTCATTAATTGTGAATTTAGACTGCTTCCTTGCAGTAAATATATCATGCCCCTCCCTTCTGGCCTGTAAAGTTTCTGCTGAAAAGTCCGATAATAGCCTGATGGGTTCTCCTTTGTATGTGATCTTTTTTCTCTCTCTAGCTTCTTTTAAAAGTCTGTCTTTATCCTTGATCTTTGGCATTTTCATTATTGTATGTCTTGATGTTGTCTTCCTTGGGTCCCTTGTATTGGGAGATCTGTGCACCTCCATGGCTTGAGAGACCATCTCTTTTCCCAGATTGGGGAAGTTTTATGCAATTACCTCCTCAATGACACTTTCTATTGCTTTTTATCTCTGTTCTTTTTCTGGTACCCATATAATGCGAATATTGTTTTGTTTGGATTGGTCACAAAGTTCTCTCAATATTCTTTCATTCTTAGAGATTATTTTTTTTGTCTCTGTTTCCCAGCTTCTTTGTATTCCTTTTCTCTAATTTCTATTACATTTACTGTCTCTTCTACTACATCTAATGTGCTTTTAAATCCCTCCATTGTATGTTTCATTTCAGATTAGAAATTTCTTAATGATTGAATCTCTGGCTTAAATTCATCCCTGATTCTTTAATATTTTCCTGACCTTCATAAGGATGTTTACAATTTTTATTTTGAACTCTGCTTCAGTAAGATTGCTGAATTCAGTTTCATTTGGTCCTTTTTCTGACGTTTGTGAGATTTTGGTCTGTACCATGTTCTTTTGACGTTTCATATTTCTGTGTGCTGCACACTAGTGCCCAGAAGGTCCAGTCTCTGGAGCTGCTCAGCCCCTAGGGTGAGGTTGGGGGTCATAGGGGAGCGGAGCTGGAGTCTGGGTGGGGAGGAATGATCTCTTTCCTGATTCCCATCTGCAGTGCCTGCGTCCTGTGTCAGAGCCAGTGGACTAAACACACAGGTGTAAGCGTCTGTGATTTG